TATCGATTAAGGATCAAAACCTTCGCGGCTGACAGCCGTAAACTCCGTTCACGTACACGCTCACTGCAGCCACGTGATGAGTAACGTAGCCATGGAGACGAGTGACAGCATGTGCTTCGAACAAACAACCCAGCTGATTTCGAAACTTCCGCACGAGTCGAGTCTCTGCGAGAAATCGCAAGGGAGCTGATTATCCTCCATTTAATCCAAAGTTAACTGAACATCCACCGAAATTAATTATGACGGTCATGTGACACAGCGAATCCTCGGTTTCAAAGCGACGTAACAGCGATGTATGCAGATCACTTGCACTCCGAAGACCGATGACGGTCGCCTAGCAACCACACCAGAGGCGGAGAACGCTCGACGAACAAATTGGCCCTCACGCAGCATTTGATGATTACCGTCTCCTTCAGGAACTGCTTCATAACGGCGTTCACCGAGCGCGAACGCTGAGGCGTTCTTTGCACACCGCATTATTACAGAATAAAGTGTGCTCCCATCTAAGTCTTAGTTCCAAAGTTGGCTTCTACCGTGAAGTTTCCCAACCGAAACGTGTGTATTTATTTTTCGTCAGTGCTGTACGCCCTCGCAAGGGCTGCAGAACCAGAACAGAGAAGTAGGAATTGCCTCCTCATGTGATTTCCTTTGTCCGTTCGTTACTTCTTCTTCGTCTTCTTCTGGTTTGACCGACGGCGTTGTTGACCGAGGCGCCAGGCTCCCGTGGGCTGGCAGCTGTCGTCCATGTGTCGGCTTGCTGACGGGTTTAATTTCATCCCCGCTGACAGGTGATCAGAACAATTGAACGCAGGCCGGCGACCTTCGTCCCGTAGAACGAAGGAAGGCCTCGCTGCTGGATCAGGGGTTGGCGATTGATCTACGTCTCGGATGATCAGGCCCACGATAAGTTTTCCGACAAGAAAAATTAATGAGATGATGTTGGTGTTCCCAGGATATCGAATCTTTCCCCAATAGCACTGAGGGCACTCTGATATTATTAAATAATTCGGCCCGTACCGCAGAGAAAACACCACACTTCAACATTACGAAGATCAAGTGGTTTACGCTGTTTGGGGAAATAATAAATGAGCAGTGTAATTGAGTGGACTGACGTGCACATCTGTTTGACCTAGTATCAGCCTTAATAAACCGACACAAATTTTCCGTAAAATGTCGTAATTTAGGCCCATAACCCGGGGGGTCGCGACTCGATAAAGAAGGCTCCAGGTCCTCAAAAAAGTTGGCTGATTGATCTGATTTGTAGGATCAGTGCCGGAAGTACCACGTGACATGCTGTTGGCAGAAATGTTTTCAACTCGGAAGTTGGCTGAAAAGATTTCTTCAAGATTTTAACTAGATTTTGCATGAAATTTGTAATGATAATGGGATTGGAGCAGCAAACGTTGTCACTTACGAATTTATGAGTACGTGACAGCATTTCAGCTTTTGTCCAGAAGTTGGTAGGACAAGGAGACGCACGCCAGTTCTTTGAATATCATTCCAGTTATTCTCTCGGATATAAACTTGTTTGCATCCGAATGTCTTCTGTCTGCGCGTTTCGGTTTCCGCTGACTTCTCTGCGCACTGCCCGTCCCTGGCAATGCAGAAACCATTCAAGGAAATTGATTACCGCTTCCGGTTTGTCTTTTGTGCATTACAGGCCAGTGGTACGTATGTATACCACTTGACTTCCCGTTTACATCACTGCGTGTCGCCCACAGTCTGCTGTTCGGTTTTGTCTGCTTCTGAGACCGAAATACCTCAAACGTTTACCTCACGTTGTTTTCGTAGCAGCAGGACCCGCGTATTTTGCAGTGCGAACGCCAGTCCGTGGTTAGTAAGTTGTCTGGCCCCTAATTGACCAGCGCGTGGGACGAACTCACCTGCCTGGTAATATTTCACAGCCCCCCAGGTCTCGGGATTCAGCGGTATTCGTGTGCGCGCCTTACAGCCTGTTTCACATAATCTATCTCGATTCCACGGTACGGTAATCAAAGCGGTCGGCGTGACGTCCTCACGCAGACTAATAGCACGGGCTGCTACTGTACTCGTCTTGACCGTCAGCACTACGCGAGTATAAGTTTTATGACAGACTCAGTATCGTTGAAATTTCTGGATCACAACGTGTCCAGATCGGCGACCAGTCACAGAAACGTCCTTGAATGGGGCGAGTTCTCATTGGTCCTTCGGAACCGTTTTAGGTCCACACGCGACACACCGTCTTTGAAACAGAACGCTCGTGCGTCTACTTCGAAAAAGGAACCAAGGTTCCTCAACTGCTGAAGCGCAGGGCTTTTTCTCGATGTACATTTCAGTGTTTTAAAAGTGTCGTTGTGTTTTCAAGCCACGGAACACGATTTTCCTACGTGAAACAATGTCTTCTCCGCACTACGCGCCGAGGAACAGCGGTGACGTTCAACGACCCCTGTACACAGTGGCAGTTCTTTTCCCGGCTAAAGTAGAGTGCTTATTTTCGGGCAGCACAGCCACACTCCTCCGAGACCCATTTTAATATTATCTTCCCTTATACACGTGGTATCTTTATTCCGGGGCTTCTAACTGGTGCGTATGTCGACCACTTCGCATTGAACGGGCAACGCACGCTGAGATTTGTCTAGGAACAGGCTGTATGAGGCTTACCATTGCGAACTGCGTACACAAACGTCCGTGGCAATTTGTATGGTACACACAGGACGGAGACGGTTCGTTGAGGCGCTGTGTAAAGAGAAGAGGAGATAAAGCAGTCCGTTGAGCTCTTCGTGTTTGTTACAAACAGTATCAATCAAGTACTTGTTCTGATTAACTCTCAGAATGATGGTGTTCGTCGAAAAACAGCTTTCCAAGAAATTACGCGTTGTTTGGAAACGTGGCTTTTCATTACAGTCCTCCCACTGCCTCGTGCAAACCACGAGCCGTCTTATATGACAGTCCTGTGTGCCACTTTTGCGTTTCAAACTGACGTGTCTTCCGCACTTCGGAGTCGCAAACCTTTCTCCATGTGTTTAGTTCCCCGTGCTCAGGAGGCAACTTGTCTGTCTCCGCTGTGTGGCTGGTTTCGGCCGTCGCAGGCGCTTACCTGTGGACCGTGAGTTCTCGCTTCTGAAATTTCGGTGGCCCTGATGAAGGCAGATGACCGAAAACTGACACCAATGAGAGGTACGCGGGTTCGTGTAGATTTCCATGAAGTCGCTGTGTGTCGAAGCGTTCTCGCACGGACAGGGACTGGGAAGGAGTCCCAGTTTCCTTTCCCAAACCTCTTGACATAATTCAGTTGAATTTGACAGTCTAATTTCCTTTTAGTCTGTGTCAGCTTAGGGCGTATATATGACCTTTGCTCGAACGTGTTTCCATATTCAGCGTGTCTCGTAGCCCGCGATGGAAGATCAGCAGGCCGATGTGCTGTACCTGGACCTTCCAGTAAAGTGTCAGACGTAATGACGTGCATGTAATCCTCTTTCCCGTGGTTATGAGACGTGTCAGCTTCGATCCAAGCAATCGAAGCCTCATTAGAAATCGATTTCGCACTGGAACCGCAGCCATTGGAACGCGAAGTTTAATCTTTTCACTGGATAAGCTATTTTTCTGTGCGCTCTCACGGCTTCTGAGATGCTGCGTGGTCGTGTACGTTGTCAGACAGCATCCGACGTTTCAGAGGTACAATTCTGCCGGACTGCACAGCGTAGTATCCCAGGAGACAGTCAGTTTCGAAGTCACTTCCTTCCTGCCCTCGTATTTTTACGTCGAACCATTCGTAACTTAAAGGCGGTTCAGTGATATTTTCGGCCGACAGACCAACTTTGTTTGGCGGATCACTCGATAAAATTCGTCTCTCAGATGTTGCAAGGCAGAACTGTGATGATAAGAATGCGAAGTGCTTAGGTTAGGTTTATGTGATTTTGAAGTTGGCAAATAAACATTCTGTGAACTTAAACAAAAAGCCAGAGACGCTTTATTTTTCGAAAATACAGCGAAGTTTAAAGTACTCTGAAACAACAATAACAAATCGGAATTACATGCTCCAAGTACCCTCCAGCACATTCAATTCACGTGATGCCATGAGGTTAGGTCCAGAAACCTTTGTGTTCTCGTCTCCACGCACAGAACAGATCTACGATTTTACGTTCATCTCTTCTGTGTGGGGGGGGAGTGACTCTTGGTCCATCGCCAGGGGGAAGCAATTCGTTGAAGGTGTTCGAGACGGACATTTGAATCTGACGGAGAGGAAATGACAGGGCGGAGAAAATTTGTCAGCGAACGGCTTCGCAATGTGTACGTGACATGGCTGGGGCATGCGACTAATGCGAACAAAACTTTAGTTGGAAAACACGACGGGAACAGGCCACTGACAAGACCAAGACGTAGAAAGGAGGATGATATTAAAATTCGTCGAGGGTGTAGAAGGGATTCATCTGGCTGATGGCGGGCTCTGTGAAGACGGTAACGAACCTTCGGGTTCCAGGAAAGTCCGCGAATTTGCTGACCAGGTGAGGGACGCTCTTTCTCAAGAACGTCTTTGCGTTGTACAATTACGTAACAGCAGATGAGATTTCAGGTTCTCACGGCTAGGAGTATGAAGCCGCCATTTACAATTACGTTTTGAACACCCGCACTAGATTCGCCAAAGTCACTGAGTGTCAGTGCTGAAGTATGTTTTGGCTTGGTTTATTTAAACGTCATTCTTTCATTCATTGAATGCTTTTGTATGGGACACTGAATGTGTGAGGAAGCAAGGAGGTGACGTGACCTCGAATGACCGACCGTTCATGTCGACGGCGCGATCCGAAGTGTCCGAGTACCCTTAACGAAATTCATGAGCATGTCGAAGTCCACCTTGATGCACTCTCCTGACACAAACACGTGGTCCAAGCTCTCGGAGTGACTGTGCACGGCGTTGCTAAGCAGCGCCGTCTGTTTGCCGTCGTTCTTCTCCAGTCGAAGCGAGTAGCGGAAGTGGGACTGGGCCTCCCGGCACATCTGCACGGCCAGGCACAGCTTCCGGTGCGGAATGTCGAACCTCTTGTGCAACACGAACACTTCCCCCAGGGCGAGCACCACGTGGTGCGAGTTCTGATAGCACGCCGCATTCGAGATCTGCCACGTGTCCAGCTCCAAGGTAGTCGAGCTGTGCGCCGTCTGGACGTGCTCCCGGATCTCAGGAGACCTGCACACACGTACAGGAATGTACTGATTGACTGTGGGGACGCCGGCAGAGTTTAGCGAGAAAGGACGTGGAGGAAAATGCGTCTAGTCCCAAGAAGATGGAACGAGACGTAATGTAAACTTTATCTCTCATAAACGGATCCTGCGTAACGCGGAAATTGCGACAGAAGTTAATTTGCCTCGAGACTTGTTTTGTGTTCACGTTCTTCCGTTTGGACGAATTCGCCCGAGAAGGAACTTCGCGGGGTTAACCCGTTTTATGTGTCAGATGATTAAAACCTGCTGACTTTTCGAGGTACATCGCCGACACGGCTTACGACCCAAGAAATATTTCTCTAATAACACGTTTTCTATTTAAGTTTCTGTGCTGTAGAACAACGTGATTGTTCTCGGTTACGTTTGGACGTGGAAACCTGACTGGAAAGTACAAGATCCGGTTTCTCTAAATTCCGGTATAACGAGGTTTTACAGTGCCTTCAGATGTCGCAAATTGTCTTTCATCGGCATAGAGTAGAGGTCTTCTAGAGAGTCTGATAACAGCTCAGCTGTCCGTTCTTTGGTCCGTTACCATGTTACCTGCCAGTCCAATAGCAGTCCTCGACGGCCCGCAGGGGACAGTCGTAACAGCGATATTCGCACTGTGCGTGGTGCGTCCCGATCTCGTTCATGGTGGCCTTGTGCCGACAGCCAGCGCCGGAGTAGCGACAAGGGTACCGCAGGCTACGGGCGATGGTCTCCAGGGCCATGTTGCGGGTCTGCAGAAGCTGTCCCGTGCAGCGCGGGCAGGACTGCAGCTTCGGCCGGCAGCGGGAGCAGGTGTTGTGCCCCGCGTAGCAAAGCGTGATGGGTGGCGTCAGGTACTCGCCACACACCGGACACGTGAGGAGCTCGAACACGTCGTCTCGCATCTCCCGTTTCAGCATCACGCAGCTGCGACAAAAGACAGATTGGTGGGTGGCGGACGAGTGGTCGTCCGTCGCGCCTGCTCGCCGATCTGGAGGTCTCTGGGTCGAATCTCGGCACGGAGACCGTCCGTCGTGACCGAGGGTTTACGTGGTTTCATTCCAGGAAAGTCCTGGCATAGTACCTGCGCGAAATTAGCCCTCGACTGCCTCCTTTCCATTCAGTTGTTTATTAATCGTCCATTATCGACTCTACCTCAAATAAACGGCGAGTAACGAACGTGACCGCGTCACATCGTGGCGGAGTACGGCGTGGAGTTGAAGGGGAAATGTTAACACAGTGTTCGTTCGAAGGAATTCCGCAGACTTTTTACACTAATAAAGGTTTATAACCCATGAAATTAACTTTATTTTCAGGAGCGCGTCTACCGAGAAAATGACTGCAAACTTTAATCGCGTACGTTAGTTAGAACGTGTTTTAATATTTGATAAAGACAATTCGGCTTGTTGCTTTAATGAATGCCGTGTCGCACACGTTCACTGAACTTACGTCGAGGACTGCTGCGCCCTGCTGTTGTCTCACGCACAAACAGAAAGTTTCCTCTGATTTACTGGCGTCAGCAAATTCCCATCTAAACCGTCACACAGAATATTAGCCAGAAAGCGTGAAGACCTCGGCATAGCTCGGAAGATGATATCGAGACACGGACCTCG